ATGGTTTTCCTCTTCTACAAGAGAGGCCTCCCTCTCATTTTTCAAGGGTTGAACAATCTTGGCTAAGGCATACACCCATTTCCCCTCCATCTCTCTACTTCAAGCCTTCAAACACCCTTGTTCTTGGTCATTTACACTACACCTCATAGCCTACCACCTCCACCATCCATTCCAGCACCTTGGGACTAATTTTCAGAGGTTGAAGGTTCACCAACTTGGTCCAAAAGTTGCTGCATTGCTGTGCTAGAAGGGTAAGTCTCCATTTCCCCTTTTCTTGCATTATTTTGCTCCATAACTTAGCCCTATTTGCAAGCATTTCTGGGTTTTGTTATAAACTAAAAAGTGTCTTATTTTGAGCTCCTCTTGAAGTTTGATTAAGGATACTTTTCTGTTTGAGCTCTTCTACCTCCTTGTATGCTCTATCCCTCTTTGTAGGCTTATTTTACTTCATATCTTAGCCCTACTTGTGAGCATTTCCGAGATTTGTCATGAGCTAAAAAGAGTTTCATTTTGAGCCTATAAACATGTTTTCTTACGGTAATTTTCCTGTTGGGGGTCATCTACCCCCTTTTATGCTTAATTTCCTCATGTTTTGAGCTACGCATGTGAGCATTTGCATTGGCCTTTGTTTGGCCTTTTAGCCACTGAAATCCATTGGATTTTCAGTGTCTTAGATGTGTCTTTGAGCTTCAGAATCATAGAGGGGTGACCCTCTCACCCCTCATTCTCTTTACTAGCTTTATTGGCCATCCAAAGGACCCCCATTTTGCATGTTGTGAAGTCACATTTCAGGCTCAATTTTGTGAGTTTTAGGGTCTACCTTGACTCTATCCGGAGCCCCTTTGGCCATATTTTATGTCTATCATGCATGTGTGGAGCAATCCTCCTTAAGGCCTTTCAAGGGGACCTTTCATTACATACTTCCTTAAGCCATTTCAGGGTCTTAAGGAAATGAACACTCCGGTCGGGGGTGCCGGAATTAGCACCCCGACGGACAAGTCAGTCTCTACTCTTTCTGGGTTACTTGTAGTTTAAGTTAAGCATACTAATTCTCACATACCTTTCTTCGTCTGTTGTTCCTTTATTTATACTCGCTTTCTGGGCCTCGGGGCCAAGCCCATTTTTCACTCATTGTCCTCTTATTTCCTCGGCTCCATAGTTCAATAGATACTCGACCTATCTATTGCATTCGGCCTCTTGATCGTGTAGGATAGAGCTGAGTAATATCTGTCTTCTAGAGTAAACGCTTCTGATTCTGCCATTTATCCAGCTCCCACAGTGTTCTGTCTATAGGGCTTCTTATAGTGTCCCAAAATAATATCGGTTTAGAGTGAAACTTTAAAAAAATAAAAATCTCTACAACTCACCAATGCCAACCCCTCTATTTGCACCTTTATGGCACCATCGTCGTGGCCCTAATTATAGTTGTCTCTTTCATGTTCCTCTTCTTTCTAAATGTTTATAGTGGCAAAGAGAAGATGAAAGAAGAAGAAAAAAAAAAAGAAAAAGAAAAAGGGGTCGCACAACTAGGGAATGAGGACTGGCGATAGAGACGAGACGGAGAGGCTTTCATATCTTTGAGGATCTTCAAGTGTGGATGATCGATTTGACACTTGATGGAGTCTAAGTCTACAGAGGCCATTTCCTTCATATTAGATATCATACTCAGGCCTTTCAAATGCGGTGTTGATGCTACACCATTTATCTTCTTCTTTGAAGATAAGTTTTTTTTTTTTTTTGATCGGCAAAAAACAAAATTTATTGATGGAATAAACAAGTATAAGGTACAAGACAAATTACATCAATAAAGAAAAGGGGAATGCAAAAGCATCACAATGAGCTAAATGATTCCAACTAGATGATTCCAACTAGGTTGTTAGTGTTGAAGGTGTTGAGATTGAATTCATAATACTTAGGCAATTATCTCAACGATCAATTAGGGTTGGCGATAGTTAAAAGCAAAAGCAGAAGGTCTGTCAAAGAAGACTTCCTCGAAGGGTCCAACGGTGAATGAGTGAAGGAGAAGTGGACGGAAGGTGACTAGAGGTGTTGGGGGTTACCAGATGAGAAAGACAAGAAAAAGACGAATTTTCAATTACTCTTTTTATTTATTTATTTATTTATTTAAGTTTTGCCCCAAAATGATGTAGTTTTGGGACACCACAAGAACCACTATATAGAAGCACTACAAAAGATCCAAATTTCTTTTGGACTGGCTATGATTTGGAAAGAAAAGTAATTCATTCCATTTTTAGCTTCTACCGAATTGGTTGTGAAGAAAAAATTAATTAAATAGGATTAATTTAGTAGGGAAAAACAGTTGGAGCAAATTATAGTGGTGGTTCTATAGTTTATTGCTTGTATTATTTTGGTTTCTACAATCATCTTAAATTTAACTTACAATTTTTAAAATTGCATCGATTTAGTCCAATTGAAAAAAAAAAAAACAATTAACTTTTTTGACAGAAAGCAGAAATATGACCAGCATGTGCTATATTTTTAGGGGTAGAATTGAAAATTTATTCCTATCCCAACCAACTCTATGAGTTACTTGTTTTCCTTCCATAAAATGTCCATTGCCCACTTTTTCATCTCAATTTTGCTTGATCGCCTCTTACAAATTAAAGTCATATGTAACTCGTAATGAGTTAATCCAAAAATAATTCATATGACGCACTAAAAGAGTAACATAGAGAATGAAGTAAACGAAGAATTAGGGATGTGAGGGTGATCGATGAGGAATGAAGGAACGACAATCAAGGATTGTTGGAAAGAAGGTATGTGAAGGGGTTGAAGAAAGAACGTGATTGAGGGCTGGAGGAGGTGGTAATTAGGGATTGAGTATGGGGATTGAGGCGTCCACCAAAGAAAATGGGAATGGACATGGCTGGAAAGGTCAAGGGATGGAGATGAAAGTCGTGATTGGGGTAGTAGGAAGTGGAAGAAAGGACTAAAGAAGTGAGAAGAAGATCGCAGTTGGCGAAGAGGAAATGGAGGCATCGATTAAGGAAGGTCATGGCAGGTTGCGGCTAGACCTGCTCCATCTTTGTTCTTCATTCTTATACCATCTTTGTTTTTTTTCTTGGCTTTGGTTCTGGTGTTTATGCCTATTGATGATATTGTCTCATAGTTGGTGGGTGATTGGGGTGGTTTTTAGTAGTGAAGGGTGGTGGATGAAGGAGTTGCAAGGTGGTGGCGGTAGAGTGAAGTAGCCAACGGCTAGGTAGTATTACAAAGAGAAGAAATGAGATGGAAGGGAAAGAAGATTAAAATGTTTTTGGCCTCAAAAAATGATCACATGTTGTGCATATAATCATATTTCGTTAATAAGGTTAATAGAGGTTATTGATTGGACCAAAATGAGATTAAAAAATACATGGTCATAAGTTGAGAAAATTAAAAATATAGGAATCAAAATGATACAAATGGTTAAATGTAGAAAATACTAACACAATTTGTCTTATAAGGGACAATTACAAAATAAACCCCAGATTTTGAGCCTTCTAACAAAATAAACCCCGAGTTTTCAATTTTGTTAATTTAAATCCTAATCTTTTGATTTGATTTGATTTGAATCTAAACTATTAGCCTATTTTTGTCAAGTAAAATCGATAAAAAAAAGAGTATTTTAGTTATTAAACTGAATGTAGATATATATAAAATATCTAAAATACCATTTTCAATGACTTTAATGACTAAAACACTCATTTTTCTATTAATTTTACTTAACGAAAATATGCAAATGGTTTAAATTGAAAACAAATCAAAATTTAAAATTTAAATTAACAAAATTAAAAATTAATTTTGTTATAAAAATCAAATTTTGAATTTTTTTTGTTTTTATAATTTCCCCTATAACTTATTAAGAGGTCAAAACTTTAAGTTTGACCACAAATAAAACTCTCATTTCTTGCATTGCACCCCTTTAGTGTATGACTTGGAACGTTACTCAGAAAAAAAAAAAAAAAAAAAAAAAAATTATATAATATTGATTACCCAAGATTTCTCACCTTTTAATGAATATCATTTTTCTCACTTCATCTATGAATTTAGGGTAATTCATCACTTTGCTTGGTTAGAATTTTTCAAAAATACTTTTTAAAAAAATTTATTTTTTTATTTTTCGTATTTTTTTATTTTTATTGAATTTTTTTAATATTTTAAGTAATTTTTTTAATTTTTAGATATACCTAACATAAATATACCTAAAAAGTGAAAAAAATGTGAAAAAAACCTTTTAAAAATCACTAAATACAAAAAATACAAAAAAAAAAAAATACGAGAATTCAGTATATTTTTTTAAATATTTTTATGCATTTATTAATTTTTCAAAATATTTTTTCACAAAATTTTTACTTTTTAAATAAGGTGCATCTAAAAAAGTAAAAAAAAAAATTTTAAATTTTAAAAATATTTACTAAAAACAAAAAAACACAAAAATCAAATAATTCAATTTTCAAAAAACTCAAACCAAACACACTCTCCTACCCTTATTCCTACCATTAGTCTTCTCCTCACACTCAAACCTTCCAATCTCTAGTTTCTTCACCTTCAATTCCAACTCACAGGCCAAACCAGATGTGAGCCTTATGTGCGATGCGACGCCCTCAATGCGATTCTCTCATCAAAATCAATCCATTCCCTTCCTCTAACAGCCAAATCGAAAATTGTTGCTAGCTCTTTCATAATAACAAACACACGCGAGTCGATGGCGGTGAAAACAGGCCCATTGTGGCAACAACGACAGATTGAACTTGACAAAAGGAAGCCAATGGCAGACTTAAACTGTCGGAGAAAAGAAACCGTCGACGTGAAGAAAGCTTTAAAGAGAATATGAATCTTATATTTCAATATCCAAAATATCTTCTGTATAGTTATATTTATATACAACTATTTGTAACTTTAGTAACTAGTTAACTAAACTAAGGTACAGTTAACATAACAACTTCCTAACTAACAAATCACTCTATGTAACACGTGCACTAAGACCTATAACAGCTCTAACTGGTTTGGTGAGAAGTAGCTGTGGAATTGTATGCAAATGTGGCTTCAACTGTAGCTGAGCTCTGTGGCTTCAACTGCAGCTCTGCTGCAGATATGGGCTGAGCTTCTGTAGCTTTTGCAGAGACATTATCATGCCCCCCCAAGCTGATGGGAGAGGGAAGAACCATAAGCTTGGACTGCAGATAAGCAAAGCATGAAATAGACAGAGGATTTGTGAAAATATCTACCACATGATCAGAAGTTGAAATATGACAAATGGTGAGTTGTTTAGCAGCTACCCTTTCTCTGACATAGTGATAATCCACCTCTATATGTTTAGTTCTGGCATGAAAAACAGGATTGGAAGATAGAGATATGGCAGAGACATTATCACACCATAAAGTAGGAGAAATAGAAGGAACATGCAGATTAGAGAGAAGCATTCCAAGCCAGCTTAACTCAGCGGCAGTGTGAGCCAATGCCCTATATTCAGCCTCAGTAGATGATCTAGCCACAGTAGGCTGCTTTTTAGCAGACCAGGACACCAAATTTGGACCAAGAAAAACACAGAAGCCAGTAGTGGAATGTCTATCCAGTGAATTCCGAGCCCAATCAGAATCTGAAAAAGCATGTAGTGTAAGAGGTCCAAGACTAAATTGAAGACCATAGCCAAAAGTGCCTTTGAGATATCGGAGAAGCCTTTTGACCATAACAAAATATTGAACAAAAGGTTGGTGCATAAATTGACAAGCAAAGTTCACTGCAAAAGCAAGGTCTGGTCTGGTGATGGTGAGGTATTGAAGTCCTCCAACAATACTTCTGTAGAGAGATGGGTTGGAACAAGGTAAATTGTCATTAGGAGAAGAAGAAGCAGGTTTAAGAGCCATGGGGGAAGAGAATGGCTTGCAGTCAGCCATACCAGCTTTCACAAGCAACTCAGAAGCATACTTATGCTGAGATAAGAAATCGCCCATAGAAGATGATGGCACAGAGATGCCGAAGATGATGACACAGAGATGCCAAGAAAGTAATTAAGCAAGCCAAGCTCCTTCATAGCAAAAGCACCATGCATTTGATGAATCAAAGCAGTTATATAAGAAGAATCATTGCCAGTTAACAAGATATCATCAACATAAATGAGTAGAATAGTAATGGAGTCTGCTGTCTTCTTAACAAACAATAATGAATCACAATGACTAGAGATAAAACCACAGGAAAGTAAAAAGGAAGAGAATGTAGAAAACCATGCTCGGGGAGCCTGTTTAAGACCATAAAGAGCTTTATGCAATTTGTAAACCAAGTGAGGATGAGAAGCATCAATGAAGCCTTGAGGTTGTTGCATATAGACTTCCTCCTCTAAGACACCATGCAAAAATGCATTGGATATATCAAGCTGGCTAATAGACCATTGAAAATGAAGAGCTAAGGACAAAAGAACTCTGACTGTAGGTTGCTTTGCAACAGGGCTAAAAGTTTCATGATAATCAATGCCCTCAGTTTGAAGAAACCCTTTGGCTACTAGTCTAGCCTTATACCTAGCAATGGATCCATCTGAATTTCTTTTGAGTCTATAAACCCATTTGCAGCCAATAGCAATTTTGTCTAGAGGTAAAGGCACAAGAGACCAAGTGCCTTGTCTTTGCAAAACTTGAAACTCATCTAGCATAGCTTCCTGCCATTTAGGAGATGTAGTAGCAGCTTGAAAAGTATCAGGTTCAGTGAGAGGAGAAGAAGTAGTGAGAAGGCAGCCAGCAAGGAGAGATTTAGACTTAGACCTGGTGAGCATGGGATGAGTATTTGAAGTAGAAGAAGAAAAATGTAAATCAATGGAGATTGAAGAAATGGGAATTGGTGGAACAGAACCAGCAACTTCAACAGAACCAGAAACTGCAACTTGTGCAGGACTAGAACCAGCAACTTCAACTTGTTCAGAACTAGAAGAGGTAGACAAATGAGAACTAGACAGAACTGGAGTAGAGGAAACAGGACTTACAGCAGCAGGGAGAGAAGAAACTGTAGGAGGAGAAACAGAACATGAAGCATCTGAACCAGTTGCAGGCCAAAAGAAAGTCTGAAGCTGAGAAAGAGAATATGGAACAGACTGAGCAGTAGACATAGACTGGGACTGAAATGGAAAATTAGATTCATCAAAAAAAACATGCCTAGAAACAAAAATATGGCCAGTAGTAACATCAAGACATCTGTACCCTTTGGTAGAGGGAACATAACCAATGAAGACACAAGGTATAGATCTAGGCTGAAGTTTGTGACTTGTGTAAGGTCTAATCCAAGGAAAACACCTACAACCAAAGACTTTGAGGAAGGAGTAATCAGGCGAGTGATGAAACAAAGTTTGAAAAGGAGTAAGATTACTGAGTTTGGAAGTGGGAAGTCTGTTAATAAGAAAGACTAAGGTAGCAAGAGCATCAAACCAATAGAACAAAGGAAGAGCAAACTGATGCATTAGGGCAATAGTAGTTTCAATTAAGTACCTATGCTTCCTCTCAGCTACTCCATTCTAAGAAGGAGCATGATGACAACTAAGTTGATGCTTAATGCCCTTATCCTTTAAAAATTGCTGAAATTTATTTGCTAAATATTCCCCCCCAATTATTACTTCTAAGTACTTGAAGTTTAGTGGTAAATTGAGTCTCAACAAAGGCCTTGAACTAAACAAACTTAGAAAATACCTCACTTTTGTAGGTAAGAGGAAACGGCCAAGTAAATTTACTGTAATCATCAATGAAAAGAACATAGTACTTAAAATGTGAAACATATGCATTAAAGGGTCCCCATACATCAGAATGAATAAGAGCCAATGGCTAATTTACAGTGGAATTAGAAAGATGAAATGGGAACCTATGACTCTTAGAAACACAGCAATGTGTGCACAGCTTATTATCATTAGAACTAGGTACATTAGTAGGTAACAAATTTTGAGATACAAGCACTTATAACTTATTACTAGAAGGATGACCTAATCTACTATGCCAAGTGATCGTGCTGCAGAGAGAAGTAGTGGAAGATTTGAAGTTGTGGAAGAAGTTCTAGGAACAACAAATGACGCTGAGAGAGAGTAAAAACCAGCTGAGTGAGGACCTTTATGAAGAATTTGCTTGGAAAACTTGTCCTGTATACTGAAACAATCAACATCAAAAGTAATGGTGGAGTTGTTATCTTTTATGAATTGATGAACTGACAAAATATTGGTAGAAATAAAAGGAACATGAAGCAAATTATGAAGATGGAAAGAAGTACTTGGTGTAAGAAGCAAACCATTTCCAGTGTGATGAATTGGCAGAGTAGAGCCATCTCCTATAGTGACATGATCAAAACCTTGATAAGGCTGAAATTGAGTGAAATTATTAAGATCATTGGTGAAATGATTTGTGGCTCTAGAATCTAAGAACCAATTTGAACCAGGGACAGATGCAGCCGAGGTAGACTGATATTCTGGGACAGATGCAACAGAGGCAGATTGATATTCTGGAGCAGCAGAAGAGGTTGAAGAAGAGGCAACATAGGCTTTAGACTGTGATCCTCTTCCTTATGAAGAATAGGAGTGAAAAGCTTAATCCATTCTGTGCCAGCAATCCATGGCTGAGTGGTTTGATTTACCACAAATTTGACAAATCAGTCCATGTTGGTCTGAAGGATGCAAAAATGAAGATGATGAAATAGACCTGCCTTGTCCTCCACCTCTATAGGTGTTACCTTGTCCTCCACCTCTGTAAGTGTTTTTATAAAATCCGCTTTCTGAATTTCCTGAATTGTTACCTTTATATCCACCTCTGATGTAACCTCTAGAACTCCCTCTAGAATGAGTTCTGGTAGCAGCATAAGCGAAAGGTAGATCTGATGTGTGAGCTTGTTTAAGAACGCCTTCAATATGAATGGATTCAGAACATAATAAGGAAGATAAGGCAATAATAGAGATAGCTTTAGATCTGGTACGAATGGATGTTTTAAAGGCATTGTACTCATTAGGTAGTCCATTTAGAGTAAGTAAAACCAGATCTTCATCATGAATTGGTGATCCAGCAAGACTTAATTGATCAGCAATAGTCTTGATTTGACAAAGATAGTCCTCCATTGTTGAATTCTTCTTGGTAAGATGACTAAGCATAGTTTTCAATTGATGCACATGTGATCTAGACAAGGAGGTGAATCTTGTAGCCAATATAGTCCACACTTCATGACTAGTGATACAATGAAGAACATATGTGTATATGGATGAATATAGTGTAGCAGTAAGATAACTAAGTAAATGTGCATCAACAGTGATCCATTCTGTGTATTCTTGATTCACTCTAGCATTACGATCTTCATCAAGAACTGTGGAAGGAGGACAGATCTTTGATCCATCAACAAATCCAAGTAGATTTGTAGCTCGTAATATGTTTCAGAATTGACTTCTCCATATCAGATAATTTGTAGACTCAAGTTTTATTGGAACAAACGAATTTAGATTGGAGATGAGTAGAGTGGGATTGGAAGGTAAAGAAGAACTGGTAGTTATACCAGATGAAGAAGCTGCCATTGTTGTTGATCTTGCTTGAAGATCTACCATTGTTGATCCTTGATGAGGATTCACCAGTGATAGATTGAAGATGAAGCTTTTGATGCTCGCAAGAGCTATGAAGCTCTGATACCATAAAGAGAATATGAATCTTATATTTCAATATCCAAAATATCTTCTGTACAGTTATATTTATATAAAACTATTTGTAACTTTAGTAACTAGTTAACTAAACTAAGGTACAGTTAACATAACAGCTTCCTAACTAACAAATCACTCTATGTAACACGTGCACTAAGACCTATAATAGCTCTAACTAATTTGGTGAGAAGTAGCTGTGGAACTGTATGCAGCTGTGGCTTCAACTGTAGCTGAGCTCTATGGCTTCAACTGCAGCTCTGCCGCAGATATGGGCTGAGCTTCTGTAGCTTTTGCAGAGACATTATCAAGCTTTGGTAAGAGAGGCGCGATGAACCACCACCGGTAAAACCCACCAACACTATTGGAAAGTTTACGTCCAAGGAAGAAGATCGGAGAAAAAGTTGTTGGGTGTGCCCTCAAACTCTGAAAATATGATTTTTAGTGTAAGAAAGTAAGAAAGCAGAGACGTAATGACCTTGTCCAAGGAAAAACGCTCTTCAATTCGTATTGGATCCATCTTCATCACATTCGTATATTTAATTCATTCATTCAATGCATGTTGATTGTGTTCCCAAGTTTCCTGATTGTCTTTGAATTTATTTTTTTTTTTAAATTTCGAGAATTACTGTTGGAAGTAAAGAAATTAGAATTTGAAAGGATTGGGCATATGAAGGTGAGGAAAGAATGGTAGGGACGAAGGCATGGTATTATAAAATTATAAAATGTAAAATTCTAAGCATGCAAGAAGAGAGTTTTGTGGTGCAAATAGAATTATTCATGAATTTATACATGTTGACCCATTAACTATGAAAATTGTACAAATATACTTTCTTTGGAGATGGTTTAGAGAGAATGAAAATGATATATTTTATAATGAAACGGCCATGATATGATTAATTTAAATAAATATATATATATATAACAATATATATATATATATATATATTTATTTATGAGCCCATAAAAGAAAGGGACAAATGCTTATCGAGTAAGATCACCATTCATGTCGTAGTTTTCATTAATGGACCATGAATAGGCATTGAGTGTGAGTTGAAATGCGAACACTCAAATTGTTTTATGCTTTGTTACTTGCACACGGTAGTGTTATTTTCCAAGTTCTCTTTCAAGGTGGAGTGGGTGACCATCATGGCATAATCGCGAATTATATATTAGCAACTCAATATGAAGATTACAATTTTTTTATCTTTTTCCCTTTGTTAGAGAAAATAATTAGAGAAAAGATCTTACTTATAACAA